CGACCCCAGCCCCCACCCCCACCACCCTCTGGTCTCCGCCCGATGTGGCCCAGCCCTGGCCGCCTTGGAAAGGCCCTTTGTGGCCCGAGCGCTCTTCTTTGCTTGGGTCCCCGGACTTCAGAGTAGGGCCCTCGAATGGGCAGGCGGGGCGCCTGAGAGAAGGCGGCCAGGCGACCCACTGACCCCCAGGTGCAACTTCCACGACACCGTAACATGTGGCTGGGCACACTTTCGGACTTTTGTTCTCGGTAATTGTTTTGCTCCCAGCCCTCCTCCTCAGGGTTGCATGTTGGATTTTGTGTTTTGGTACTGACTTCTGTTTGTGCGATACAGGTGACCGTTTGCTCTCTTGTATGCTTTGGGTTTCCCAGATTGCCAGCACCTGTTCCAAAAATAGACACCGGTTGCTAGTAAGGGTGGTTGAAAGCCCAGTTCCTTCAGCGCTTGGGACTGTCTGGGATGGCGAAAGAAATGGCGCTGTTTATACCCTTGACAGCTGGTGGCATGGCTCTGTCTTTTTTGTGCCACCACATATATTTGCAGAGGAAGTGAAGTCGCCCTCTTAAGGATGGGTAGGCGAGATTCGTTTGTTGAAGTCGCCCTCTTAAGGATGGGTAGGCGAGATCTTTTCGATTTGAATTGATCATCCCCCTCCCTCGCCAAAATCGAAAGGAGATTTTGTTTGTTTTTTTGGATTAACCATTAGATTCTAGCCATTGTGCCCTGTGTTATCAGAGATCCTTTTAGAAATACAGCCTTTTTGGAGTTACTGGTAGCTGTCGGTTGGCCTAGCTAAGTGGTAACAGAGGGACAACTCCAGTTTCTGACTGCTATCCATTTTAGTACTTTCTGACTGCTATCCACTTTAGTACTTTAGTACACTTATTTTTTCTAGAAAATAAATTTTTCTCTACTCAGGCTTGAACAAAAACAAATAAAGTTTATCTTTTCTTTGGAAAAGCCTCTTCCAGATGCAAACTGTTATCTGAAATATTCTGTTGTATAGCCTCTTACAAATCCAACACACACGTACACATGCTGTTTTGATCTATGGGCTACATAGCTCCCAGAGTGATCTAAGACAGATCTGGCTATCATTCTTAAAAACTTATGATGCCCTGGTTTCCAGACTATAACCTAAATTCTGGAAGCATTTCAGGCCCTTATCATTTGGCACAGTCCACTCTAGCCAAATCAGACACTCGCCAGCATACACCACACATCACAGACACACACACAGACACACACACACACACACACACACACACACACAAACACACATGTGTTCTTTTGTTCTGTGGCTTAAGCTCTTGACCTTCTTGGAATGCCTTGTCCTGCTTGACCTCTTAACCTGGCAAGATGAAATTCCTTTAAGACTCCTCTCCTGATCGTGCACTCTACCTTCTTCCTTCCTCTGCAGAGTTTATTTGCCGTGCCAGATAGATTGTCAACTTCTTAAATGTAAAGACTGTCTTGTTTATCTTTGTATTCATCATTTATTCACAGTTATTTTTGAGTGCCTGCTATGCGCCAGTCTGTTAAATGTTGGGGATACAATAATGAACAAGACAGATAAGGCTCAGGAAGCTTACAGTCGTGAGCAAGATGGAAAACAAGTACATAATACAAGACATGCTATGTGCTTTGAAGAAAATAAATCAATTGCTCTGTTAAGGAATGTGGGTGGGAAGATGATCAATTCAAATCGAAAAGAGCTGCCATTTATGAAGAACGCCATAGAGCAGTTCGGGCAGAGGGAACAGTGTGTTCAGAAGCCGATTGGACAATAGAATGGCCTGTTGGAAGAGCGAGAAGACTGGCATTGCGGGAGGTAGGGAGTGACTCACAGGGAGAGTGGCTTGAGAAGAGACTAGTGAGATTATGCAGGACATTGTGAGCCAAGGTAAAGAGATCAGATTTCATTTTAAATGCTTTAGGTATTAATCTCATTTTTAAACAGAAATGACATGACCCCTCCATAAATGCTTGTGAAAGTGCTGTATTGGGGTTCTTGAGAAAAACAGAACCAATACAACATGTATATATGTATATGATTTATTGTAAGGCATTGGCTCCTGAATTATGGAGGCTGAGAAGTCTTACTATCTTGTCATCTGCAAGCTGGACACCCAAGAAAGCTGGTGGTATAATTCGAAGGGCTGAGAACTGGAGAGCTGATGGTGTAGATTCCAGTCTGGATCTGAAAGCCTGAGAACCAGGAATGGCAAGGGCAAGATAAGACCCATGTCTCGGCTCAAGCGTCAGGCCCAGGGCAAATCCAACATTTCTCTGCCTTTTTGTTCTACTTTGGCCTTCAGTGAATTGGATGATACCCACTTACAGTGGGGAGGGCCACCTGGTATACTTAGTCTACCAGTTCAAATACTAATCTTTTCCAGAAACATCCTCTCAGATACACCCACAAATAATGTTTAGTGACCTATCTGGGCATCCCTTAGCCAGGCAAGTTGACACATAAAATTAACCATCACAGATACCATCAAATTTTATCCACAGAAAAGTTTCTGGGGTACTGAAACTTCCTTCGTGCACTGTACAGCCCATCTTTGCCAAGTGCCCTGCCCATTGCTAAACTCTGGTTTTTGGTACATATATTTGCTGAGCTGGATTGAGTTGGATTGGATTAGTTCCTTAGGGTCATTATGTAATATCAGCTGCGTAGTTTAAATCTGCTTCGCCATTTCAGGGTGATCTATTGTGTACTAGTCTTTCTTAACCCTCACTGTGTATCGGAATTACATGTGGCACTTTTCAAACATGCACATGCCTGAGGTACAGATCTCACCCCAAGCCAATTGAGTCAGAATCTCTAGAACAGTAGTTCTCATGCTTGATGTGCATCAAAATCACCTTTGGTGCTGATTCCAGAAGTTCTTTTATGTTGTTTAACTCTTGGGACAGTGTAGGTAGAGACAGGGATCAAGAAAAGAGGGAATGGACTCTGAATCACAAAACTGGAGGAATTCTTGCATTTGCAAATGTTAGTTTGCATATTTTGTGAGCTTGGCAGAATAGGATGAGGATAAATTTTGTGTAAAAGCTGAAAATGAAACAAAGGCTATTTATTCTGTTTACCATCGATTGGTTTTTAACATGTTCCACTCATGGCTTTGACAAACTTCATGTGAATTAAGATTTCCTTAGTCGATTAGCTATTGTATAAGTGAGATCTTTCAATAACTATGCTTTGTAACTTGTGATTCCTTTTCTGAAAGGATAGAAATTCATTTTCCTAATCTTAGGTTCATTTTTTTTTTTTTTCAAATTAAATAAGGTAAAATTTACAGGATAGGAGCATTATTCTATTATAAATATATAATAAGAAAATTACTTGTTTCTAACATTCCATGTTTTTGAGCAGTTGATACTAACTTGAGTAGCCATGGACATTGAAATGGAATTGTTATGAATCTGACACTTTTTATTTATAGGTGGGCTCTTCAATAATTGCTATACTTAAAAAGTGGTTTTGGCTGCAGTATTTCTTTCCTTTAAGAAAAGATTAGAACAAAACAAACAAAAAGCACGTATATTTATTTAATATCAAATGTCTTGCAGATCTTACCAAAAAAAAGAAAAACCACTTTGTCTTACCTGAATAACATTTCTTCCTATATGCAGAAATGGTTATTGTCCCAATAATAAATATGTGAAGTTTCTTTGATTTGAAATTAACTTCAATGGTTTATAGGTTTTATAGACTTTCATGTGAAAATTGTAGTTGTAGAGAGTTGAGGGGTTATTTGTGAACTCAAATAGTTAAGATTTCAGTACTCACAAGGTAATTATACTAGCTAACATATTAAACAGTTTTTAGAGAATATTGTTTTGCAATTATAAGGGTAGAAAATGGAAAATAAGGAAAGCAAAAGGAATAGAACAAAACTTAACATTGAATATTTTCGTCTTTATTTTAAATTGTTTTCTTTTTTCTTTTTTTTTTTTTTTTACTAACTGTGAATCTGGTTATGGTCAGTTGTTGCTATGTCAGTCGAAGACTTAGCCAGCTATCAAGTCATGATCCGCTATGGAGAAGACATTGCAAAAAATACTGGCTGATATCTGAGTGAGTATTTGAGAAATATGTATTCTTGAAATTGGGCCCTTGGCTTTTCATAGTCTGTACTGATAGTCCCCTGTAACCCTTGTCTCTTTCTCTCCTTTGATGACTCTCGTGCCTGCCAATAAATGCGGTATTCTCCAAGCTTCATTTTTGGCCCGCTGCTCTTCTTGCTCTGTGAATTCTCCTGCATGCACTGTTGTGGTTTCTAGTGACTACCCGTGTGCCCCTGATTCCCGAACCTGAATTGCATCCATGACATCTCCCACTGGGCTTCAGACTTGTTTGCACAACTGTCTGCTGGACCTTTCCATTGGATGACCCACAAGGTTTTCTGACTTCAGTAAATGTTAATAAATTGACAGGATAAAAGTGTTGATGAATGAAGGTGGGAGTTGAGGAAGGTGAAAGAAAAGGTAGGATTGCTAATATCTTTTTCTTAGATTGAGGGGAATCAGGTAGTGACTGAAGTTGGTAAAGCAAGAAATAGAGGTTTAAGTATATTATTTAAAGCTGCAAGCTACTCAATAGAACTAAAACTAACAGAGCTATTAAACATTAGGAGGAGGAAGACTGGGGAAGAGGGAATTTTAAGTATTGCTTAAATAATACTTTTATTTTAGGGTATCAATAGATAGATTGATAAATCGGGAACTACAGGCATAAACATTTAGAATTAACTTCTAGAAATAACTAAAGTTTCCTTTGATGTATTGGGCTTAGAACAGGAGACTAGTGTTTTTTATCATAAGTTCTTTGGTACTTTTTTGGGTTTTGATAAATATATATATATATTATTTACATGCATGAAAGAATATTTCCCTTCTACCACCACTCCCCCCCAAAAAACACCACCCTGAATGATTCTTTTCCCCATCCGTAAACCTGATCTTCCTGCTTTCCTGGTCTTCATGGCAGTACTATCCCATCCACCCAGGGAACATCTAAGCCAGAAACAGAAATCATCCTAGATCTCTTTCTTTTCTCCCTCCCTCCCTCCCTCTCTCTTTCTCTCTCTCTTTCTTTTCCTCTCTCCACTCATTCAATCACCATGCTTTATTTTAGCCTCTTTATATTTCTTGAACCTTTCTACTCATTTCATCTAGCTACCCCAGTTTTAATTCAGTTGATATCTCTTACCAGGACTACTACAAAACTCTCCTAACTCATGTCTGTGCCACTCCCACACCACAGCCAGAATTCTGCTGTTTTAACTACCCTGTTAAAAACCCCAGTGACCTATATAATTTTATTAACAAATGTCACCCCAATAAAGTTAATCTAAAAAAAAAAAACTTTTCAGTGGCTCTTCATTCTCTACAGAATAAAGTACAAGCTCATTAGTATGTTAAGGCCCATTACGGCTGCCTTATCTTGTACCATTTCTGACTCTGAATTTTTCACTTTATTCTCTCTCCCTGATAAGACTATACATTTTTTGAAGGCAAAAAAATCTGCCTTATTTTTAATATCCTCAGTGGCCAAGTGCTCAATAAATATTGTGGAATTGTATCGAATAGAAAGGTCGAATCATGTGATTACTTTGATGCTATATGATTTTCTAGCTAATCTAATGTAAATAAATTAGATTAATATTATTATCTCATTAGATTCTAAATATTATGTAAAATGGAACAACTACAGTTCAAACAACATGGATTTGAACTGCCTAGATCCACTTATACTTGTATTTTTTTCGAGAAATACCGTAAATATATTTTCTTTTCCTTATGATTTTCTTAATATTTTCTTTAGCTTAACTTTATTGTAAGAATACAGTCTACAATACATATAACATACAAAGTTTGTGTAAATCAAGTGTTTATGTTATTGGTAAGGCTTCCAATCAACAGTAGCTATTAGTAGCTAAGTTTTGGGGGAGTCACAGCTATACTTGGATTTTTGTTTGGGGGCTCAGAGGGATCCATGCCCCTAACCTCCGTTGCATTGTTCAAGGGTCAACTGTACATATTCATTTTTAAATTTTATGATTGGTATGTATTTAGGAGTCAGTTGAGATTCATACCCCATATACTCTTCACATTTTATTAAGATTAGAAAACTTAGGAAAAAATAAGAAAGGAAATAAATGACTCATAATCTCACCATGCCAGCAATAATTCCTGTTATGTTTTTTGATGTGTCACTTTCTGCTATCTAGTCTTCATTTCTGGCTCAAATAAATGAAAAGGAAGGCAAAAGTAACCACAGATTTCCAATAAAGTATGTTGGTAAATGTCTAAAATATGTGCTAATTTCATTCTAAAAGATGTTTAACTTAACTTCCGTAATTCGTTTAGGGAAGAAAAAACACAGAAGAATCAATGTTGGAAATCTCTCTTCATTGATACTTACTCTGATGTTGGAAGATACATAGACCATTATGCTGCTATTAAAAAGGCCTGGGATGATCTCAAGAAATATTTGGAGCCCAGATGTCCTCGGATGGTTTTATCTCTGAAAGGTACTGGGAATGCAGGGTCTCCCTTCCTCAATTTAGTTACTATAGTATAAATAGGGTAAATGACTTTGGGTCTCTATCATTTATGCTAATCTGTGCTCATCCAACATTATCTGTAATTCCCCATTCACATTTGGCAAAGGAAATAGCCTATATTGCTAAAAGGACCCTTGCTATAGTGCCTGCTGTAGTTTTGCCCACCTCAGGACCAGTGTGATCATTTATTAGAAGGGAAAGCCGAACTCTTTTTATGCTTGTGTTTGTTTTATATAAAGAAACAAATAGGGCAAAGATTGCTTAAGGATAACTATTGTGATTTCTTTTAAAAGATTTTTTCATTGAAAAACTGCCTGCTGTTATCAACCTCTTTTCTGCTTTCAGTACAACTAAATGTTTGGCAGTCTAATATTTAGAAAAACCAAATATGAAAGACTTGGAGTCTTTAAGAGTATAAGAATAGTATATAGTAGAGTAAGGAAAACTTTCATCCGTTTTTTTTTTTTTTGATATTTACAGAATAGTAAAAACAAAGAATTGAACTGAGGTCTATGTGATCCCAGAATCTGTACTCTTTATACTACACTGTTATTTTCCAATTTTGGCAAGAAATAGTAAGAAGCTAGCGGTATTAATTTGGTTTTTTAATTTATGCCCAAGAAAGTACTTAGATTGCAGACATATTGCTACTTATCTGGTTTAGCCTCCAAGTTTTTTCAGATTTCTCCACTAAAAGGAATTTTATACATGTTTTGGTTTGATAAGCTGAAATTGGGATCATTTATACTCACATGTATTCCTTTTGCAGTAAGGTCTCTTTTGAAACAGTATTTCTTTGACATTTCATAGTTTCACTGTAACTTCTCATGCAAAAATGAATTTCATACAAATCATGATCACATGGCCAGGTACTTGAAACTGAATTGCTAAGAGGTAGAAGAAAGAATGATTTAGCAGAGAGAGTAGAGCCTTGAAGGAATGTGCCCTTGACTAATATTTTTAATAGCTTTTTTCCTTGGAAGATAATAATATTATCTGCTTGGTATATGAGGTTAAATAATTTCAAGAAGAAAATAATTCCAAAAATATATATTTGTGGTGATATGTAAAATAGGTATGTGATATTTAGTAAATAGCTACTATTTACTAAACACAAAGCTAGGCACTAAGCTAAATACTTTGTATCATTCCATTTAATTTGCCAAAATTCTGTCAGGTAATTACTATTCTCATTTTGTAGGTGAACAACCCAAGACATAAAAAGCTAAGTAAGTTGTTTGACATCACAGAGCAAAAGGCAGAACCAGATTTGAATATAGGGCTGTCTCCAGAGCTATGGTCTTAACAGTAGTTGAAGAGAGAAAGGACCTATCCTATTTTGTTTAGAATCTTGGGATCCTTAGAGAGCTAGTTCAATATTAGGACATTTGGAATATGAGAATGTAGACATAGTTCTCCTTTCAGGCACAGAGGTACCAAGAAAGGAAAAAACTAAGGATACATTTCTTTTTCTTCTTTTTCTTTTTCTTTTTCTCTCCCTTCCCTCCCCTCCCCTCTCCTCCAGTATTCCCAGGCCCCCCTGCTCACTGTTCTGTACCCAGTGGTTGAAGATGAGGTTGTGGTTGTGGTTTTACTCTCAGGTGCCAATTCTCTGGGGGCTTTGCTATGAGTTAGAATAGGACAAGGGCTCTTTGATATCTAGACTGCTGAAGATTCTAAGAATGCTATGCCTGTGAGTTTAGGACTAAGTTAGGAACCTAGCCACTTCAGGAATCATAGTCTCTGACTCAATTTCAAGGTTATTGAGATAGCAGCTGGAAAGGAAACTTGGAAAACAAATAGATATTGGGCTTGGGGAAATTTTTATAAGTATCTTAAAATTTATGATACATTAATATATCATCTATCAATCTATCTATTGGTATGGATCATATATCTTCAAATTT